GCTGTTCAAAGATTTCAGAAAAAAATCACAGGACATTACATTTTGAACAAATACAAGACCCATAATTATACCTTATTGATTATACAGTATCTGTTGCATCTGATTTAAAAAATAGAGAAAGAAGTACAGACCAGACCTATATATGGTCTACACTGCTGTTCAAAGATTTCACAAAAAATCACAGCAGGACATTACATTTTGCACGGAGGCAGCAGACATTGATATTGACTGAACATAATTAAATGCCCATCAGTGGTGTTACGATGAGGTTTCTATCAGTGGAAAACATTTATTCAGCTGCAACAAAATTACTTCCACATATTTTACTGGTCAGAGTATGTAGATCAATCAAGATCACACTGCCATCTGCACCAATGCAAAATCTAACATGTAACGAAGTTGATCATAGGATGGCAGTTGTTTCTGAACTCAGAACAAGAAAAAGCTTAATTTGCAATGTCTAAATGGAAACATGAAGTATTCGCTGACTCCAGTTTAAAAGGTTAATGAACTATGTGCTCATTTTTGACCACTGGCCAAAATGTCCACAAGTCTGCTGGCAGAATTGGAACATATTGATCGAAAAATGCAGACAGAAAATCCCTCGCAACTGACGGAACGATGGCAAAGGCCATACCTCTGAAGCCATGAATTCAAACGAGCCAATGGTGTGGCGGCGTTTCTTCATCCATCTCTTCATACGTCGCATGGCGAGATCCTCCCCCAGATTGCGTGTCAGGTAAAGGTTTTATGGAAATCCCTCCTATCTGTTGTTAGATGGTGAGGCTGATACGACTGTTCACTATCATGCAAGAAGCGAAACAGGATCTCAACTGTCCTAAACTGCTCCCGCGTGCCTCTTGCCAGTACTGGATGTTCACTTGACATTAGGAGGCTCCTTGCCTTGCTGAACAAATATTTAAGGTGCTTAAGATAGTAGAGAGGGAATGGAGGAGCCTCTGTGTAAATCTCTGCTGTTTATTTGAAGAGTAGAGGATTCTGAAATGTTTATGCTAACTGGTACAGTCCGAAAATACTTCTCTTAATGATCTACAGATGATGCTTGTTTACTACATGGCTGGCAGACATAAATTACACCAGTTTAACTTATCATTTAGATATCAGAAGTACTAATCTATGTTTTGGTTTGGCCAAACTATTTGAAAATGGTGATCGTTTTGTTAGATTTCTTGTACTTACTTGTCAATGCTTTCAGTATAAGTTTGACTCTCTGGCTAGTCATTGCAGATTGCATAGCAAACTTTATCTAACTTCATACACCAACTGGTAAATCTTATACCCAGATGAAAAGCTGGATAGTTTAGCTTACTTCTAATGTTCTCAAAAATTCTGACATCTCCCCAGCGCCACAAAAAACCGCTACAACACTCAGATGAGATTTAGATCACAAACAAACACTAAGTAGGTGTCTGATAAAACAGGATCTAAAAACAAACTTAATTAAAGACCAAGATAGCTCCAACGTTAACTTACACTTTCTCTTTAGTACATAAATGTGACTTTGTAGTCAATCATTTAAAACATTGCACTGGAATATACATGTACATGTAGGACGCATAATGTAAGTTATAGAATAGCTTTTGCCAATGCATAAAAATCAAAATCTGTCAAGATAAGATGAGATAAGATAAGACAGATTTCTATTTTTATGCACTGTAACTTAAACTTGTGGGCTAAGCTATTAACCCTGACGGGCTGTTAAAATACCAACGGTCTTCTTGCATTTATTATTAATAATATCTGTCATGAACCCCAGAGAACAATAATTTTCATATCACTGTGCTTATTTCACCAAGAGCTACGCACTGATGTCAAACTTGAATGTAGAACATCAATTTTCCAAATGTCTAGTAGTGACTTTCCAAAATTAAACTGGCCAGTGTTTTACCAAACTGAATTGTTACCGTTATTATTGTTCCGCTTTGAAACTTCTAGCACAATCCGTATATAAAAGCTTTGTAGGCACACATACATGTGTGAGCAGAATCTAAAAGAAACTTAGAACGCCTTCACCTTTTGCAAAAAGCAATAACCTCTTTTTTCAATCTCTGATAAGATTGTAATGTAATGAAATCAAAGCCTGGGCTCCAAGCACTGAGCCTGATTCAATACTAGTACAAGGGTAGAAGCTTTGAACTGAAAACGAACAGCAAAAATTGCATTCTGCAAATCTTGTCTGTTGACAAGACAGACGTCCTTGCCGCAGGACTTTCAGAATTAGCCAGCTGATAAAAGCTAATATCCCATAATATACTCCTAGCAGCAAAATGCCATCATGAATTTTTTTGCCATGTTTGTACCTTAGACATAGAGGCAACCCTGGAACAAAAATCGTATTTCTACTTGGCGCAATGTCAATGATGCATTTCACACGTTTAAAAATGATCCTGTCTGTTTTCTACAATATATATCGCAAAGAAGCTCTTCCTCATAAACCACCATCTGAACTACTGTCGCCCGTAGTTCGTTATTTTACGGGTGGACCCCATGCGTCAATCTCCTGTGTGCTGCTGGGAACTTTGCTGCGTGATGAGAGGAATGCCAAGTGGCCATGACAAATATTTTGTGATGTAGTTATTTGGGTCACTGGTTTGGGCCGGAGTCCCCAAGGCAACACTGTGGGTACCGTTTTGGGGCTTTCTCAAAATTTCCTGGACCTCAATGACCAAACAGACAATGAAAATTCTTTTAACAACGATTGATATAATCTTAAAATCTTGCTCAAGGGTTAGCATTGTGTTTCTGTAAGGAAAAAAATATTTGACCGCAATCCTAGGTATCTCATTCTCAATACAAGTGTAAACTCAAACAATTCACAGTAACCAGCTTATTACTAGGTACAGGTACATGATTCTGCAATATATGACTCACTGAATTCACATAGACAGGCTGGTAGATTTTACTAGATGTTTACAACGAAAGTTTGAAAGGTCATTAGAAAAATTTGCGTATGCATGACAAACAGGAGCTCTTCTCCTTGCCCTTGAAATGTCCTTGGAAGAATATTTCTTGAGGAATACCCAACACAGTTAAGGTAACAAAGCACTTGATTCAAAGACACAAAGACATCAAAATTAATTTTGTCTTACTGAAGTCATTTCCATTGTAAACCATAGACATCCTTTCTGGTAACTCTCTCATAAATAATACTGTTTGAAGAAAAGCCTGAACTTTTGAGACAGCCCTTCGTATCAATTGGGAATTAATGCGGAGGAGTTTCTGCGAGGAAGTCATCATTAATTTTTCTATAACAGGTAACAACCGGCTGGGTTAATACAGACTTAATTGTTCACACTCCAGGAAATATATACAATCGCAGCAGAATACTGAACACCCCAAATCCAAATAAGAACTGTCAACAAGTGTCCTCAACAAAGGTTACTGGAACAATACATTAGTAAATAATTAATAACCTTTACAAGTTTAAGTGTTGCAAAATGTTCCAACAGTAGTTAACCAATCAAGAAATGACATTGTATTTAAAGGCATCATAGGATGCCAAGTCCAAATTATGCAAATGAGCTTAATAATTTCCAGAAATTCTTTTTTTCATTCAATTCAAATTCAAAGAAAGGAATTCAAAGACATAATATTTGTCAAAATGGAGACACATTAGAAATGATTTGTGCTTGATCATAGAAAATGTACGAAATATGCAAACAATGCTAAAAACTTATGCATGTTCTTGAAATCCATCAGCATCACAGGAATAAACATAATAATTTTTTTCAAAACTTTTCAAACTTTCATTTGATTTAAGCAACTTTTTCAAAGTGACCGAAAACCATTGAAATATCATGTTTTTGCCAAATATCAAACATGAATATCTACAAAATTTTGAAGATATGATATTCTTTCTACATGATAGAAGATGAACATTGCAGAACACTACTTGGCGGTAAAATCATCAGTCTCTCTTGATCACATGCAAAATCATTCAATTGGACACAATTGTGTGTACCCCCCATAGAGCATATCTCCACCTTTCGAGCAAGTATGAAGTCCCTACCATAAATTGGTCTGCAAATAATTGCGTTATCAATAACAGGATCACAGACACAGACAGATGCAGTGGCCAAAACCAGTGTCCCGAAACGTTATATAATCGTCAAGGGATATCAAACCAGAATACATCACTCACGTACGTTCTTCTACATCAGAACTGTAACAGGGAGCTGGCTCACACAAGCTACCACGCCACCGTTCCAAGAAACCAGCCAATTAAACCGAAATCACAAATGATATTTCAACTCTTCTTCAACGTGCCACAGCGGAAAGAATCTAATATAAACACGTACACGAAGTGCGGAATGAAACGCCAGATTAATCTTGTTGCGAGGCATGACACAGATTGAAGAAAATGACTCTACAGAATGCAAAAACCCTAGCTACGTTACTGAAATAAGTTGAAGTATTTATATAAACACAAAATAAGTTGAAGTATTTATATAAAAACATAGAATATAATATAAACACGTACGGGAAGTGCGGAATGAAACGCCAGATTAATCTTGTTGCGAGGCATGACACAGATTGAAGAAAATGACTCTACAGAATGCAAAAACCTAAGCTACGTTACTAAAATAAGTTGAAGTATTGTTTCCCCTGTTAGGTACGATATTGTGTGGGCTTGTCACTGTGGCACCGCCTGTCCTACAGACATCTCGGCGCCGCAGGGTCCAGCCTTCAGAACTCAGACAACATTTTTGGCGTGACGAATTACAAGTCGGTGCAGAATATAGATTACACTGTAATGTGCTTTGAAGTTAACTGTTCCTTTGCAAGTACAGGTCTCAACATCATATGACATTTTTATCACAAAACGAGAAAACTTACTTACAAGGCTAAATATAGGCATAGACTATCTTTATTTTTCAGCCTTACTATAACTTATAATACGTAGACACTTGAAATAGAGCTTGAATCAGTGAGCTTTATAAGGAAAAAGGCCGGGATAAAAAAAAATTTAAAATTCTCACCTTGTCGCTGTCTATGGTAGTTGCTGAAGTCACAGAACCAGTTTCCTGCTGTTCCATACTGTGGATGCTCCCCTCCTCTGTGGAATGCACACTCTCACTCTCCTCTCCTCCAATGCTCGGCTCTCTGAGGGAGGAAGTCAACCAAAGGTAATGTCAGTGAAATGCTGTATCTACATGTATGACGATTCTACAAGAAATCTAATAAAATTTTTAAATCATATCAACGCCTTACTCCTACTTCTACTTGAAAGTATTATCCAAATAACGCCCTTTGAAATGCCCGCCGTGCGTTATTCCCTAAATTACAATAACGCTGAAGGGAGAAAAACAAATTACTATGACTAATGAAGAAAGGTCTTCTCTGCACCTGCCCAAAAGACAGGTGGATGGCCGAAGATTCGTGAACCGAGTGCCAGGATTGATCGTAGGCGGACTTCACAGACAAAAAGGAGATCAAACCAGCCGATTACAAAAACCAAAATCTAGGTCGTGGAAAAGTAGGTGTCATACCTTTTGAAAATTGATTGTGGCCTAATTTCTGAGCTTTTCAAGTTACCTTTTGTGTAAATCTTTTTAAAGCCACTGCAAGCTCGACACATTTTACAATCCTGAATAACACCACTCAATGACTTGTTGCCCTAAATTTCACAACTACTCTCTCTCTCACAACTACTAGTATACGACTTATACATGTACATGTACCTTTGCAATAAAAAATGGAGAAAATATCTGGCAAGTACTAAAGATAAAAAGTACAAATCTTTAATACAAATAAATTATTGACAAATAAAAAAAAATGCAATCGTTACCACTATTTGTCTGAGGCATTACAAACACACAAAAAAGCTAGCATTTTGATTTAAGTGTCACACTATTAAACGTAATGCTCCATAAACTGAAAAGACTTAATGCTACAAGCATCTATACATTCAAAAATGCTCTGACCTCCTAACCTTGGCCTGGCTTAATAACATTGATTTACGGTAAACAATTTTGTTTTGACGCTTGGTTATTTTGTAACGTTATGTATTGTCAATGTGTCGATTTCATTGTTTAAATTTCATGTTTCACTTGTTGTTACAGGGCATCCCTGAAAAGCAGTGGTTTCAAATAGCACTGAGGTTTCTACCCTGTTTAAATAAAACAGAAATAAAGAAATAAACGACAGTTAGCGAACGCGGCCGTTAAGAGACGGTGTCTTACCGTGGAGACTTGTTCTGCGTCAGGAGTTTCGCTGCTGCCTTGAGAAGCGACGGCTGCTGTCTGCGGTCGTTACGCTGCAGCGCGTCATTCAACGCTGCGGGCACCAAAAAAAACACGCATAAAAACAGCCCAGGTATCCCTTTCATCATCAAATTTGCATCTCTTTTACACACTTCTTAACCTTCTCCCTGCTGCCTGACCCTGTGACGTATACAAACCTGATTCCAAAAAGGCTACCTCAGTTGAAATGAGGTTAAAAATCTCACCCTTTTCATTATCAAGTATGGTATAGCCCAATTTTCAAAATAAGATGCAAGAAAATTGAGGATGCTCCTTAGAAAGACAAAGACATGCTACTCACGTATCTCATATCATTATGTTCACCGAGCATGCAAAATCTCATTGCCTTAGTGTTATTCACTCTACGTAGCTTCTCCCAGATATATATTCCTTCGGGGAATTCTTTATCTGGGGATCTTTTCTTATGAGCACTTTACTTGGCACATCTTCGTTCTTAACATGACCTGGGTGTAAGCCCTGAGAAGGGAGACTGCCTAATCTTATCAAGAAAGAGGGTATTGTTACGCTTACTGAGGTGTGCAACTGTAAAGTTCAGGTCCAATAATATCTAAACATTTCATGCTGATAACTACACTGAAAGGTCCCATCACACAAGAGATTTATTTTTGAACTGTTGAAAATTCTATCGTGCTGACTCTGATTATTTGAGATAATTATAATTTGGTGGATGGACTGGAGTAAATCAAAGGATCTGGCAAGCTAATAATTCATCCTTCGCGATGCTAGAAGATATTCGTAATCTTAATTGCAAATGACGCACTAGCTTTACCCCAAGCTGAATCATTTTGATGCGCGAATAAGAGGCTATGTTTACAGTGAAGATGATTGACAGTTGGTGTACCTGCTGTGATGTGCATCTGTCGTTCCTGCACAGTTTCGCGGATTTTCTTCACCCAAGACTGCTTCACTTCCAGACTGGAAGCCTGCAAAACACACACGATAACAATTTGTATTACTATCTGTTGGTTCCAAATGTTTCACAAATTTCCCAAAAAATATTCAAATCATCAAAAACCAAGAAAACATGAGATCTAGAATGGTGGTGCATCATTAGCTAATAAAGGATAGTGTGGCATAAATCTAATTAAAAAAAAGATACTTCTGAAAAAAAAGCAACTTTATACAATATCTATTAATGCAGCCATGCATTTAATATAGCAGCAATGGTTATAAAATGAAAATGTGTGGTTATGCATGTCCATGTGCATATATAATAATTCTTCCAAGTTTGAAAAAAAAGATACTGGAGACTTTTGGCATTGTTCAGAAGGAAAAGAAAAAAACACTGTATGTAACAAAGTTGTAGACATAAGACAGGCTGTTTTTATAATAGGAGGCTGGATACAAAGAAATGTACCAACTTAAACATTCAAGGGAAAATTATCCTGGGCAATACATGTTCTGGGATATCCCAATGTTCTGTTGTGTTTGGGATGGATTTTAGAAGCACTGAACAGGTTTTAAATGCTGTCAATTTGAATTGTCTAAATATTGATTGATTGATTGATTGATTGATTGATTGATTGATTGATTGATTGATTGATTCTGGTCATACAGATACAAATACAGAATGTAGGATTTTGCTGCAATACTCAAATTATTCCAGATAACAAGGAACCTTAAAGTTTATCATTTGTTTGTGGTACCAATAAATACAGAATAGCTGAGTGTTCTGAAAGATTGCAGCTTTTCCACACATTCATACAGTGCAACAACATCACATTTTTACTCCCTAAATATCATTTTGCAACAGGGATGATTCAACTTTTAATTTGACCAGAAAATTGACTTCAAACATCATTGAGTGACCATCACATGTTAAGGGATATCCCACACATATAGGAGGAAGATAATGGGTTGGAAAGGGGAGTGTACATAAAAGGGAAGAAAAAGAAAACTCACCACCTTCCGTTTCAGAGGCTAAAAGATTAATGAAGAGAAACAGAAATGAGGTTCTACCGGTGCACTACATGGCACAGGACAGTGGAAGTAGTGTGTGATGAAGTACATAGAACATGGCTCGTACAAAAGCACGTCTTTTTAACCAAATTTTCACTGGCTGAAGTGCCAAAAAAGAATTGTGTAAGTTTACAATTGTATCTGATAAAATTCTTAAAGCATTAATAAAACTGAACTTTGAGAAAACATCATGTATTTCAGTCAGGAAAAGGCACCATAATTTTTTCATGACATTTCAATGACTAAAATTACACATTTTTTCATGACATTTCCATGACTGTAACACTGCATTTTTCATCACATTCTGACTGTAACATTGTATTTTTTTCACGACATTAAATTTCATGATGGTAACAGTGCATTTTTTCATGAAGTTTCCATGACTAAACGAACCATGTACACTTCAGAGAAAGAAGACAGGGCAGTGTATAATATAAATCTTACAAAGGTTAAAACTTTCAATAATGTGTTACTGGCAGCTAGATGTATGCAAAAGCACTCTGTGCATTTTTTAACCACATTGGATGTTAAGTTTGCTCACTGGAAATACTAGCAGTAACGATTAATTATTATATATTTTACATCTAGTTTCATTTGTGCAAGGGCCTGGCCACTTAGAAAACATGTAGGCCAGTGTTCCTCTATTGTTTGTTGAGCAAAGACCATTAATGAACCTTTAGTTTGTATGCATTATCAATTGATGAACAAAAGTAGTATTGCATTCCTGGTTAATGATTTTAAGCAATACATAAGTCTGTGAAAATGAATGAATGAATTCGAAGACCATAGTTCTTGCAAATTTCAGTCATAAAAAATCTACTGTAACAGATGTTCATGTAGAATACATACAGAAAATGTTGATTTCCAGAATCATATTATTGCTTGTGTGCATATTATGTACATTGCAAAGGAATACACAGTCATATACATAACGTTTAACACCATCTTTGCCCAACAAGCAATACAACTTATCCCTTGCTCATTTGTATCCAAAGAATGACTAGTGAAAATGACAAGTTTCCCATTTTTACACCTGGTTACCGAAAGAAAGGTATGAAAAAAGTACAAAAAAGGAAGTAAAGAAACGACTGGTGTATGTAAAGGCAAGTCTTGTGGAAGAGGGGTAACGTTACAAAACAGCCTCTGAAGGGTCATTTTCCACCTTTGATCTATGACCTTTGTTTTGAAATCATAAAATAATATCTCTTTATTTTGCACTACCTTCATACTTTGCTATCAATGACTTTGATATCATGACTTCAAATAAAAGACCTGTACACTACAGTTACAGTAACTGCAATTTCAATACAATTTTGCCACCAAAATAATCCCCCTTTCTAAAAATTGTTGTTTAGCAAGCAAAATGTCTTTTTTTTACCTCATCACTTCTTGAAAAACTAATTTCCAGGCAATCCTCATTCTGCTTTAAGGAATAGCTCCTAGACCTACATGTACAAGAAGCCACACATCAAAGGTGTTAATACAGTACAAGAGTGATGATGTCTCACTACTGGGCCCAGAACCCTACCTTGAGGATGATCCTGTTGTCTGATGTGGGCTGTCTGCCTGTCCACAGAGCAAACTTACAGGGGTCTCCTTCTATGTGCTCTGTAACACCCAGGTCAGATGTCTGCATAGGGAAAACAAAAATTACATTGTATTTATCATCAACTTTATCATTCCATCTTAAATGCACTGCTCACCAAGTCTTGTGTTATATCTGCATAAAGTGACATTCGAGAAGTTGTGGATTACCCAATCCTTGACTAAGAGTATTCAGTCAAAAATTTGGGCAACTTCCAATTTTCCTTCATGTAGGAAACTGTAAAAGTATAATTATGCTACAACAGAGTAAGTTCTGCTGAGATACAGGCAAATTTTCATGTTTACTTTGACCATTTCAACAGCTTCATAATTCACATCCATTGCAGAATTTTTTTCAGAACCAAGCAATTATCAAGTAAGCTAACCTTCAAGTCAGAGGAGATTTTTCAGCAACATTATGGGAGTTTTTGAAGAATCCGGGTTCCACAACTTGACACAGACTTCAGACTAATGTTCATGTCTTTCTGAGAGATTTAACAAGTCTTCAGGATACGAGGAGCTAGTTTTGTACATACATGTATTTAGATAAATTACACTCAACATTGCTGTACATGTTGTACACTCACCATTAGTCTATACTTGTAGATGTACTTGGTTTTACCGTTGCTATCTTTGACCTCTTTGCTAAACAGTAGGCACATCTCGAAGAGGAAGATGTGTCTTTCTCGACCCTTACGGATCAGGGCCTTTGGATCCCAGACTTGGAAGGAGTCTTGTAACAACATGTCGCCTTGGGCCTCAAAGTTACCCTGAGGGAGGGGTGCAAACAGAATGAATCATACTGTCATACACTTAATTGTACAGTATGTAGCACATCGGCAGAATGTACTGCGCCTGCGCAGAACCCTGTATTTTCGCGTTTTTCGTTGGGTTTTTGGTCATCGTTGCATCAGAATTTTGTCTGTTGCAGAGGATATTCTTTCCGACACAAAGTTTGGAAACTTCTGTCGAAATGCTAACCTTATATGAGCTAATACAACCTTATATGAGACATTCTGCCAAAATGCTATGCACAATACATAACGGGTTTCGCGCAGGTGCAGTACGTTCTGCCGACGTGCTACAGTATGTGTATGTATGTATATGCATGGCAATCACTCAAGATCTTTATTTGCAATCAGATACAGATTCATGTACGGATATACAGATTCATGTACAGATACATACCGGTATTCATGCAAAGACACAGATTCATGTACAGATATACAGATACAGATTTTCCGAGTATGATGACCGTGTCAGTCCCTACACCTGAGTGAGGAGTGTTGACACGGTGGCCTTCGCATGGATTTGTTTAAGGTGGATAACAGGTTGCGAATCTGAGACCTACACAATATAAACGTGATGTGAAAAACAATGTACATGTATTGACATTTGATTCTTACTGTATTTCAATCATGTCTCATTTTTTTTATTTACTTCATATTCACCACAAAACAAGCCACTCAAATGTTTTAGGTTACTGTACAAGACAGTAAGGACAGATGTTTGTTGGCCTTAAACTTGAAAAGTTTAAGGTTATACCCATTTGGGACACAATCACATGGTACATGTAGCTCATTCCTTCATTTTACCCCATGTTGTACTGGATATTACAATAGAAAAGACATCACATGTGTACAAGAACAAGCCAACAATGACAGAAAACTGTCCCTACCTCGAACCCTTCCAGCATGCTGAGATGCATGGCATCGTTGGCCTTCTTGGGCACATTGAGCATCACCTCCAGTCCATCCTACAAATGAGATTTAACACTTCAGAAATATTTCTTCACAAATACTTGTCTGTGCTGCATGTAGTCCTGTGAGGAATGCTTTGCTTTGAGTGTTAACAAGATACATGAAGTAAAAATATTGTTAACTCTAAACATTGTTTAAGGCTATCTAATGATAATGCTCCTACTGTACTTGGTGGCAGCGAGTTCCACTCTGCAATAGTTCTAGGAAAGAATGAGTTTTTGAACACCTCAATCCTTGGTTGATACCTCTGGTACTTAGTAGTTGGTACATCCACCTGTAAGTCTGTTTATTAGTCATTTTGTTCCAAGTAGTATGCATGTAAGATAGACCAGATGTTCACCTTGATTTCTCCCTTGCCTTCCTCACAGCAGGCCAGTAGGTCCTTCAGGAGAAGCTGGTACTTGGTTATTCTCTGTACAGGCTTGATCAGGTATGACTGGATAGTAAGACTCATGCTGTGTTTATTCTGCACATCCTGAAACAAACAAACAAACAAACAAGTACATTTGTACTGGTAAACAAACATTTGAAAAATGTATGAATTATAATCACTAACAAAATTTACAGAAGATTTAAGTAGAAATTATTAATGCTAAATAAACATCTGAGCAAATGTATCAATTAAAGCATAAACATATTTTACCAATTTTAACAAAAAGAATGCGGGATTCAAAATCAAGAATCTCGTGATTCTAAAGAAAATATTACCAACTGTCTTCCTTTGTCAAAATACAATGGTCTTGTCAGAACATACAAGTATTATCATTACCTCAATGAAAAGCAGCCAGCAGACCAATATTAGTCAAATTTAGACTTTGAATTTACCTCAAAAAAGTTGCCGGCATGTTCCATGAGAAGCTGGTTGGAGTCAGGCTTGTTCTTGCAGTATTTCACGTACATGTCAAACTTCTCTGCCCAGGTCACGAAGCAGTGACCTACATCTTCTGGAAACTGCTCGTATTTTTCGAGCTCTCTGAGGAAGACACTAGAAAAAGAAAAGACTCTCCTTGTAAAAAATGACAACATTTATATATTCAATGGCAAAAACATACTTTTTACAGTTAAACTTATATCACATAAGAGGAAGTATTAAATACAATACTGGTGTAGGTAAGGTTGTCCATATGCATGCAATTCTCACTTGTATCACAAGGAGGCGCTTATCACTCGCAGAAACCTCATAACTGTCTATCAGTGGCTTACATTGAATAACAGAATACTTAGTACTTACTTTCTTTGGTAAGCAAAAGAGTTTGGTGATCTTTGAAGATATGGACAACTGTGCAATATGTGACAGAAAAATTAAAAACATTGTGGATTGTCTTACTTGTTATGGAAATCATAAATCTCTTCGATATTTCCGAAGATGACAGACTCTCTCCCGGACAGTCCTACAGGCACCTCCTGTACAGAAGCTGTCATCTCACACAGGTAGTTCTTAATGCAACACTCCAGGTCCCGCACATACACTCGCTCTGTCTGCAGCAGCTCTGCCATGATAAACCTGGGGAAAAAAATGATAAGACAAAACATTTAACTTCATACGACAATTAACTATGACAAAAAAGGTTTAACGTTCTTCCTAACACTGACTAAATTGGGACTCCGTCAGCCTTGCTCACAGAATGAAGTATACCAACAAAGATGAACTTTCACGCTCAGAATAACTTCAATCAAATGAACACAAAACACAGCCTAAACATTTAAGGATTACAATTGTTTACAGTAACCATTTCTTTCAGTGTTTCCACATCGTGTAATACTATCAAATTAGGATCAATTTGACCCACTACTCTGCCAATATTGATGCAAAACTGTAGCAAAAATCTTTCACAAAATTTTGTAACATAAAAAAGAGAAAATAAATCTGATTTGTTAGTACATATCAAAATCTTTCAAAGAAAACTATGTTGTCTACTCACTCTTTTCTTCTGGCAGACTTTCTCTTCTCCTCATTGGAGTCCTTGGCAGAGTCTCTAAGTTTGACCTCTAGACTGGAGTCTGACCCTTTGCCCTCTGACCCCTTACCATCAAGGGAGAGATCCTTGTTCTCACTTGGAGCAAGCTGGAGAGAAACAAAGTTTCATATTTCATATCATGCCCGTAATACCACATGTACAAAATAAACTCTTCAAGCTAGAATAAAAGACTTGGTTGTGTAAAAAAGAATCTCTTTACTCACTGCAATGTGTCTATCTTGAAACCTCCCTATATCAGATTGTGTACCTCTGTCACCTTCATCAGGGCAATTCAGGACTGGTTATATTCACAGACAAGACAGTGTTTCTATCTTGAAAACCTCCCTATATCAGATTGTGTACCTCTGATTCCACCCCGAGAGCCTCCTCCAGCTTGTGTCGGTACTTGTCCATCCGTGAGGAGAAGTCCTTGTAGCGTTTGTCCACGGCCGTCACCCATGACTTGATACTGGAGGCGTGCGAGTGCCCCTTCTCTACAAAACTGTCTGCCACCTGCAGAAGGAGCTTGACTTTTTCTCTGGTCTCCTGTAAGGATGATACAAATAAATGCTGAACAAGGAAGATTTGAATGTGTACGCCAAACAATTTTAAGTGGGAATTGCCATACTTTATTCTAAGGTGAGGGGACACAAACTCAACCAAATACCAGTATCTATGTCATTACACAGCAACAGCTTCTCTCCATGTACTGCAAAATTGTGGAACAGTGACAAATATTTCCCACCGGAATAAAACCAACAAGCCTTAAAGACCAACGTTACAACTATCTCCTAGCATAGTCACCTACATTTGTATACCTCCTAGCAATTAAATTCAGTCTCCAAAAGTGGTCTTTCGGCCATTTATTGTAAGAGCAATCTTGTTACAAAAAAAAAATACACAGATGTATGAAAATTCATCCTGGTGTTCATGGCCAATACAAGATGCTCATTGGTCAAAGCTAGATGGGCAACACTGGATGCTGATTGGGCAAATATCTATACCTGTTTAAAAAGTATTGCAGGCAAAACATAAATCATTGTCTTTGCTATTATGGCTGTTCCAACCTTGGCTGTTCCCTTAAACTCATTGTGTTCTTTAAGTAGAGCCTCTGTTTCTTCCCTGTTGTCTCCGACGTTGATGTGCGTGGACAGGTAAAACTCTCCGGTATCGTGGATCCAGTCCAGGGCCTTCAGCACAAAACACAATCATCATTATCTACAGTCAGAGTGTACAGTGTCTTAGCAGTCCTGGGTTCAAACTTCAAACCCCACATTTCCAGTATGGTAATAGCTGATCTTTTCTTTTACCATCAACCTAAATTTGCACATGTAGACCATCATGCTTCCTGTCCTCGGTGCTGAATGCAGTCCACTGACAACCTTAAAGCTTGAACTAAGCCCTACGAAATGTCTTTTTCCAAAATTTAGCAATGTGGGATAACATAACACATATAAAGTCCATTACCGGATGAAGAAAGGTTTTGTGTACTGATGGTTCTTACCTGCTTGGCGCTGCGCTCAAAGAGCACGTACTGCTGGCACTGGTCGAGTCTTTTCTTACGGATTGTCCAGTATTCTAACACCTGGTTTTCCTGCTTCAAAAGGTTCTCTAAGATACCTGCAGTAAAAAAAAACAGTAATTAACAGTTAAAATAAGCCTTTTGCAGGTTTCAAGAGAAAATCTAAAGCTATGATATGGCTTTGTAAGCGGTGAAAATGATGCTTTGTTTTTCAAAATTTAAGAATAATTTCTGCACAAGTTAACTGTAAGACGACCAATGACAACTTGATGCTGTTATGAACAGTGACAACCTTCCAAAATGACAAACTATGCTGACATTATAAGATGATTACATGTGTATGAATTTAATTACAAACTGTCAAACATCATTTCCATTCTCACAGTTAGCAGGGCTCGAAATATTGGGTGCATAAGCACCATAGTGCACCCAAATTTGGAGCTGTGCACCTAATTCTTTTTAGTGGGTGCACCAGTACCACCAAATATTTTCGTAGGTTTACGTATGTAAAGATGTTAAATGTATAGTAGTATATAGCATATTATTAACATCAAAGTGTCAGATAGTAATAAAATCATTAAAACATGATTAGTTTTTGCTGACATTCTACTTATTTCATCTTACATGGTGTATCCAAAAATTTTTTGTGCACCCAATTGTTTAGGTTAATGAATAAAGATAAATGAATTTTGAGCCCTGCAGTTAGCAAGTACTAATTGGTGAGAAGTTTAAAATATGTGCAGTTGGAAGAGAGGTTTGTACTGACTTTTCACACGAGTGTCTGGTCCGCGGAGTCTGTTAGGAGACGGCCCGTGGGTGAGGTTACTCCGCTGGACGTACTTCAGGAATGTTTCGGCATTGCGCCGGGCTAGCGTACAGGCCTGCAAGGAAAATCAAATGTTACTTGCACTTCCAAGAATTCCTAAAACTTCTTAAGCTTACCTATGTAAAAAAATGCATATAACAAAGACAATAAAGGAAAAAAATCGAATACAGGCAATGCCAAAAGACTTGGGAAACACAAAACATTGTACTTAAAATAACATGGTACCTTTCAGTACCTTTATAAGACTAAAAATACAATCATCCAAATCAAATTACTAAAGCCTAGGGTAAAAATCTACATCACCAATAAAAAACACTCTAGAGGTTTCCACTTTGTCTGAAGAAATGCTACACCACAAAGATTGTAAGTTAATAAGATTTTATTTCTTCAGGCATCGATGGCCCATATAAAAGAAAAGGTACAAATAGAAATATTACCTTTAGGAATGCTTCTTTTTGTTCTACATGCTTGCCGATGATGGGTGCGATGGGGTCAGGTTCTGTCGTGTTATATCTCTCCGAGTTTCCGCCACACCAGTCTTCGTCTCGCTTGTATTCCCTCTCCAGACTCTCCAGGACAGAACAAACCTGGAACAACCAACGTCGAATCACGTGTGGCTAAACTCGCTGGAAATTACTTTACAGTTTTCTCTTGCCAGAATCAATATCCTCCGATTCCAGTCATAAGACTCTCATTTCTACAACACATTCAATCAGATAGATTATCTTTCCTCTGATTTGTGTTCTTGTCAATTCCCCTTGCCAGCACTGGTGTGATTATGTCTAAAAAGGGTGGCACAAAGATGAAATATCCTCAAGTACATGTACACTCATTCATTTTCTGAATGTGTACACTCATTTCCGCATCTTCAATCTGAAACTATTCTTGTCACACACACATACATTTTGTATGCACAACACACATAGAATTCCCATCAAAAGAAATTTGCCTAAAATGGTACATGTAACATCAATATCAGGAAAGTTCATCTGTGTTGGTAAACATCACTATGGAAACTGTACCAATACAAAGGCTAGACTCACCAAGGGTTCGTATCATAATGTGTTACAATTTTCTACCAAATAATGCCCCTACATGCACATGTTCATACTCACATAAAATGAAACATTACACATTTCAACTGAAACATTAAGAGTCAAAATCATCTGTAAATAGCTACTTTAAGTTAACAGTTTTCAAAAATATGATACACTTGTAGCTTTGCAAGGCTTGAACCAAGTTGAATATTGAGGTAGAGAACTGTCCATTCATGTTCATGCATACAGAAAATGAAACACCTTTTTACTGAAACATTGTCAGCAAATATCATCTGTTGAAAAGACTTAAAAATAGGATACACCATTTTGTAGCTTTCCCAGGCTTGAACCAAGTGAATATTGAGTTAGAGAACCGACCTAATCCACAGTTTGTAGAACTGAACTGCTGTTATTTATAATCCTGGAGTATTTGCTTTGTATTGCACAGAGCACTGATATACGTTGCCGATACATGAATATGAACAATCTTACACTAATTTCAAAACTCCTGACTCTTACTAGCTAGTACTTCTCCAACTACAACTACTACTACTACAAGCAGGATTCTCCCCATAAATTCTAAGGAGAAAGGTGCTCCCTAATCGGTTGATGAAAAATCAGCAAATTTTCATGGTAATACTAAGAGAAAACCCTAAACTTGAACATTCTGGGAGATGTTCTAGGACTTTGGGGAGAGGGGGAGCACCCTAATGCTCCATTGCTTGGGAAGAGCCCTGTACAAGTGAATATTTGACAAGAGAACCAACCTGCTCTGCAGTTTTGTAGAACTGAACGGCTGCGTTGATGAGTCGTTGTCTGTCCTCAGCCTTCTGCATCAGCTGTTGCCAGTGGAGCGCGACATTTTCCGCACAGGCGCGAATCGCTTCAGGCTCATAGTGATTGTTTCCTATCAAGTTCTCTGCCTTCTGTTGAACTGTCAGAGCACTAAGATGTGTTTTCTGCAATGGAAAATAAGAATGAACATGAGCTTGATGAATTTTGTTGAAGTTTGATGAATCTACATTGTAGTGATGATACTTGTTTATTAGTCAGTCTTCCATGCTAAAAGAAGCAAAGCCCCTTTCAAAATTTCAAAATCCGTTTTAAAGCAAATAATGTATAACAACATAAGATACATTTTTGTGACGTTAATGCAAGAATCGCACAAATTACACAGCAGCTTATGCATTTTTGTGATGCTCTATTATGCAAAAATATCACAAATAAAATAGAAGCTTATACATTTTTGTGACTTCCTATTGTGCAAGAATGGTAAAAATAACAGAGAGAGCTGTAGCTTGTACATTTTTGTGACTTTCTATTTGCGCAAGAACAGTACAAATAACACAGTAGCTTACTTCTATAGCTAGCTGGAACTGCTCGTGTTCTTTCTTCATGGTCTCTGCCTCGTTTAGTGTACTGGCGGTGATAACAGCCGCAGCCAACATGGCCTCCCCGTTCCGTATCCATCCCAGAACCTACGCAACACACAGAAACAGCAAAACCAAGGTCATCAACACAGAAATCACAGCATCAAGGTCATCAACAGAGAAACTACATAAACAAGGTCATCATCTCGTAACAATGTCCACACACACAGAAATGCCTTAGATGTACATGTAATGGTCAATCTGTGTGTGTGGACATTGCTACATGTACGCAACACACAAACCTCAGCATCATCAAAGTCATCAACACAGAAACCAGAAATTCAAGGTCATCAATAGAGAAACTACAAGAACAAGGTCATCATCTGGTAGCATACCATATATACACACACAGAGGGACAATTACATGTAGATCTAAGGCATTTCTGGGGCTTTGAGTGGGCTGTCCAACATTCACGGACGGATAAGATCTTGTCGAGCACGTGTTTGAACTTTATCTTCTACAGACTGAGAGAGCACCATAAAACATGCCAGCAGCATTGATCGGGTGCTAAAGCACACTACAGAGCCCTAACTTCCACTGAAGATAAGTAATACATGTGTAACAGAAATCTGGCACAGTAAAGCATACCAACATTCAAGACTACTGTGTGATTGATACTTTTAGATGTAGGGAGGGGGGCAGCTTCTCGGATCCTACTGATCCTATTGATTGTATTAGAAGATAACTAATACATGTGTTACAGAAATTTGGCACAGTAAAGCATACCAACATACAAGTCTATACTATGTGATTGACATGACTTAATACTTTTAGGTGTGGGGAGGGGGGCAGCTTCTTAGATCCTATTGATTCTATAGATCGTATTAGAGATAAACAGCGACTTGCATCAGAACTGAGACGCTTTAAGCGCAAAACCAAGAATAAGTACATGGTGTAGATGAAGTACTTTTATGGTCTTGTAAGACTGACGAAATGCCTACTACTACTATTACAGATAATCTAGATTATTTTTGGCTCTGGTAGAGAAGCAAACTGACCAATACCAAAGAACAAATGTAAATTTAACACACAATGTTGGGACATGAGTTAAGTGATGATCACAATTTCCTTTATCTTTATGTTGCCATGGCAATGTAAGGAAAATCCCATGATGCCAATGAGACATGACAGGTTTCACAGGACCTTGGTCTAACCTCGCGAGTAAGGAACAAATTTCCAATTTTCTGCTTGAGAATAATCCACTGCCTCCGAACGGGACATTCAATGTCACTGCATATCCAAGGACATTCCATGACAGACTCAAGGGGAGTTCAAAAAGGAGTAAAATATAGACCAGCGATGTCTTTTATAATTCTGAAGTATTGGCTTTTGTATTGCATGGAACACTGATAGATGAATATGTACAATCTTATACTAATTTTCAAACTCACCCTATGATACTACATTGTGTTTGTACATATATACTACTACATTTAGTACATGTACTAGTGTTCTACAACAACTGCTACTACTACCTTTAAATACTATGAAATGTTTGTTGTCCTTGGAGATCATGTTCAAAAGGCAGATCATCACATATGCAAGTTACTAAGGGGTACTGTTTCTAACTGTCAAGATGATTTTTGGTGGGATTGGAACCCATAACCTACAGACCTATACCCACCTGCTTGACCTCCTGTTCGAAGTGTCTGAGTTGTACACACTGTGTAAGGTACAGTCTAAGGGGGATCATCAGATATGCAAATTACAGATGGGTACTGTCCTTAATAGTTGAAATTATTTTTGGTGGGATTGGAACCCATGACCCACCTGTTTGACCTCCTGTTCGAAGTGTCTGAGTTGTACACACCGTGTAAGGTACAGTCTAAGGCGGATCATCAGATATGCAAATTACAGATGGGTACTGTCCTTAATAGTTGAAATTATTTTTGGTGGGATTGGAACCCATGACCCACCTGTTTGACCTCCTGTTCGAAGTGTCTGAGTTGTACACACTGTGTGAGGCGGAGTCTGTGCTGCTCGGAGATCTCCTCCAGGTCCAGCTGCTTCTCGTGGAGAAACTCCAGCAGCACCTGGATACGTGTCTGGGCGTCGTACTGACTGTCTGCCATGATCTGTACACCTGTGCAACATGAACACCACATCGGTCAACACTCTTGACAGTTGTTGACAATGGTTGCCCACATTTCTGATATTAATTACAATTTTTCTATGAAAAACCATTTCAATAAACCACAGATGTTCAATATTTCTCAAAGATTTGCATACAGCAGTGCATTTGCATGGAATGAGTTGCCTGGTACAGTTAGGGTGGTCACATCTGGCCACTCTTTCAAGAAGCTGATAAAACAATATTGCTGACCTCTGACCTCTCGACCCAGCCTGATCCATCGATTTTGATGCTAGGTTGTACATATATATGTTATTTTTGTTATTTTGTTTACTGTTGTTGGTGTTTATGTCTATCTGTACAGGGCACGCCTGTAAAGCAGTATATTGTACTGAGTGCGTCTACCCTGTATAAAGAAGACAGAAATAAATAAATAAAAGGTGAAGCAGCTTCCCATCTGCCTCCGTAAGACCTATCTAACACTTGCGACAAGCAAACTTCATCCAATTCACAATCAAGTGTGTTAACACCGGTGAGAACTCAACTGTGTGTTGAACACCTGTATCTAAGGTTCAGTTGTCTGTAAAACACTTGTAAAAGCTAAGCCGTCTGTTAAAATACATGTAGCTGGTACAGATCCATGCCCCTCTATTCAAATACATAAAGCTCACCTGCCTGTTCAACACCTGTATAAAACTTATTGGTAGAAACACCTGCACAAAGCTCACCTGTCTGTCAAACACCTGCATAAAGCTCACCTGTCTGTTCGAACAGCTGGTACAGCTCCTGCCCGCGCTGCAGTGCCTCGTACGTGAGCCCCTGCATGCGCAGCACCCTGTCGTTGTGCGCGCTCAGCATGTGTTCCGCCCGCGTCAGGTCGGCCTGAAGCTCCTCCTTACCCATCTCCTCCGCCCACGCTTCCAGTTTCGATGACACCTTTTCATCAAGACAGAAGATGTGTTTGGTTTTTTCAAAGACAATGACTCTACTAAGAAGAAAGCTAACATTTGCAAAGCAAATGCATAATGTTTACCTTTGCATATGGTCTACTCTGTTAATTCTTACTCCCAAACACATTCATACATTTGGTGACAGGAGTCTAAATCCCTCCTGCTATAAAATTGCAACATGATGTAACCCAATATCAGTCACCAAGGTAACAGACGTCTGGTTCAGGTTCTTGACCTTTTGTGTTTGTGTAACACGTACAGAAACCTCACAGGTCATCCTGAAGCTCCTCCTTACCCATCTCCTCCGCCCACACTTCCAACTTGGACGAAACCTTTTCATCCAGAAGGAACAATTTTTTCTTACAACCAGTAAACCATCTCAAGGTGCATACAAGATATGTAAGACAGGGCTGTTTTGATCCACTTATAACAGTGTGGTTGGTTTTATTAAAGAGGTCCCAGCATGTAGGCAAAACGTACTGCGTGAAACCCGGATTTCTCTCTTTTTTTTTTCAAATCTGGATGCACCCACTATTGTCGGTAAGTGAGCTGGGTTTTATACTATTTTTTTTTCATTCACACATACATGTACTTGCATGTTGTGGCTTTATGTAGTATGTCATACACTACAACAGATGTACAAGTTAAGTTCACTATTTTGTCCTGAGCCCTGTCCAAGTCACATACCTCTAGTGCATCCCTCTCGAAGTGTCTGAGCTGCAGACAGAGGTCGAGTCTCAGCTTGCGTGAGGCCCACAGCTCGTCCAGCTCCCGCCGGCTCTCCTCCAGCTTCTGCAGCACACCGTCGATGTGCTTGATGGACTCCTCATGCCGCGGGTTGTTGGGGGCCTGGTTACCTTCCATGGCAGCATCCCTACAGGGAGGTACAGTTTACAGTTCAGTTTTCAGTTTGAGTTTACAGTTAACCTTTGAGTTTACAGTTAACCATGTATTGAAGTATTGACTACTTCTGGGCACTGTGAACTAGGTGGGTGGGAGGTATAAGTGACGTTGCCAGGAGATGGTGGTGAACACTGGTTTTGAAGGCTTGTCAATTGAAAATGCTTGTCAGGGAGAGAGTCAATGATTTTGTAGTCCATAAAAGAAGATTTTGCTGTATAAGACTGTCAATGTACACAGGTGGACAATATATGCAAGATTTTTTATGCTTGGGTCAATGGAAGACAAATTTATAAATTTGGCCACAATGACTGGGTGGTCTAGCCTTTCACAAAACAATGACATAGATAAGTACATGTAAATGGATATATAATTTGAGCAAGAGAATACGAGGTATCCAACAGTGGCAGCCAATATGCTGAATTGTTGTCGGAGCATTATGATGTGATAAAATTGTATCATAAACAAAGACTTCAGCAGTTAATATAACTAAAGAAACACAAGTACAGGCCAAACAATGCATTCCTACCTTAGTTGCTCAATAAGATTCTCCCCCTCGCTGATTGTACTGATAGATGCGTCGATGGTGGCCTCCTTCTGTTGTAGGAACTTCTCTATCAGTTCTTCTGTTCCCTCGATGTCGTCTGCTAACTCGTCTGTCTGAAGTTCCTTCTTTAACGCCTCAATCCACACCGACAACTGTGAAACACACGTCAAATCTCATTGCGTATAAACCTAACGGTAACAATATATTTCATCCATACTATGGTATGGACTGAAATACAAATAGCCAAACAGTAAAATCCTTGAAAAACCAACATATCTTTTCTGAGGGAAATTTTTCCCACGTTAAACAGAGTCCATAGCGTCCAGCCAGTTCCCACTGCAAAATCCACAGACAGAAAGGCTGTGACTGTCCACATATAGACTGATTGATTGCAAAGCACTTAAGCTTATTACATGGATTTGTTACTGCCAATACCAATACTGGGTTCTGGCAGTCAAGTCGGTGGTATTGACCCATTTCAGCCTCCTCTATTAAGAGTGGCAGTGGTGTGTAGTCTCTAACAAACTACAATACTTACTGACTTAAAGATTTAAAGAAACAAAGCTAATTACTGGTTTTCCAGATTTTCTAACAACTACAATTTAGGGTCTGTGCTGTATATTCACTTTTAGGTATGGAAGCATTGCTTTGGGTGGCTGGAATAGGTTTGTGTATCTGTTCATCTAGACACAGAACTTATTATTAGAAGGTTGACAGCACATGGGTGTGTGAAGATTGACAGGCAGAATCTGGCCTGGAGCCAGCAGAGAAAAGTTGACATGGGAGATTCAGAAATCTGAGGGACTGCATACTTCCTTGAACTTGAAGTCTGAAATCTCCTTGAAGTCTGAAATCTCCAAATTTTTCAGATATTATCTACTTCTTTTTCTTCTATTCATCTTGACAGACGATCAGTTCAGCGTTGATGGGCTCGTCCATGGGTGGCCAGCCCAGCTTTACTCTTGCAGAGTTTATTACATGTATATTATCTAAATCAAATAGAATACTTCATTTCTTTCTACATGTAAAAAAATTTCTTTCCACACTGACCTCTTTGATGTGCGTGTGGAAGGAGACGGACATGTCCAGCAGGGCTTTGCGCCGCTCCACGCGCGTGACGAAGTCATGGATGCGGTCCTCCAGATGCCGCGCCGCCTGGTAAATCTCCTGCGGGTCACACTCTCCCGTCTGCGCAAGCTGCTCCGCTGCCTCTAACAACTTGTCTGCATTAGTGTACGTATTCTGGAAAACACAGAGATGAAAAAAACATTTAATACAACAACACCCACAATAAAGACACATATAGAATATTGCCTACTGCCTATGAGCTCAGGCCAGGTACTACCGGTGCTCCTCTCCGTCTGGTTTCTCCAGCCAGCTCTTCAAGGGCAATACTGCACACAGTTTATTCTATATCACTCGAAGTACCAGCCTGAACCATGGGAAGGTTGAGAGTCACTGGAAAAAACACACATTTTAATCTAAAATGTGCCAAAAGTTTGGTATCCCTAAACAAAAAAATGTAGCAATATCAATTCCAACATCCAAATCCAGTATTCAACTTTCCGCACACGGCGCACCTGAAATGCATTCGGATTCTTCTACAGAATGGTTGGAAGCCCATGTGATAACCAAATAGTATCCCATAAAATACTGGAAATTATCACACAGGCCAGAACACCTATATCAAACGTTATCACAGCCCAGCTAAGGCATAAATGCTGTTACTCAAGACATGGTTCAACCTGTCCTCATAACTAGTCTAAAAAAAACAAAAACATCAGGAACAACTGGTAAGTACAACATACTTGAATTCTGTAACTGACAAAAATCGGGTTCAAGTCAGGTCACACGACTCACACCCGTAAAAAAAGATTAGACTAGCCTGTCTTCCTGACAGCTCGGTATGCTAAACCTGTAACAGACTCACTCGAAGGGAAAACTGCCGATGTCTGGACTCATCACTGTGATAGACCATGTCTGGAAGCTGTAATACCTTCTCAGGTATGATCTACAACCTGTGTGTTGAACTTGACCATAAATATCTATACGTATTAGTGCCTACACTTGATACATTGCAAGCTATATTTAGAGTACATTTCTATATCTATAGCTGTACTAGCAATAAAGATAAAAATACTTTTTTTCTTCTTTTGTACCTGGCTTGTAATACCTTCTCAGGTATGTTTTATAACTCGTGTGTTGAACTTGACCATAAATATCTATGTAGAAGCACCTACACTGGATACATTGCAAAGCTACATTTAGAGTACATCTATATCTTTAGCTGTACTAGAAATAATGATAAAAATACTTTTTTCTTCAATTGTACCTGGCTGCATTAAATGATTGATGAGAGGGTGCCACTAGTAGAACAAACTTTTTTTGAGGAAGAAAATTTTTGGTTAGCATAGAATTTAGTATACATACATACATGTACAGGAGAAGGAGACAAATTTCTTTCTACGCGATCTAAGAATTTGGTATTTCTTCCTGAACCTGAGGCTTAATGTCGAATCTTACATCCAAGTCATCACCTCAATTATGTAAAGCATACTCACATGCATGACAGAAGTCGGTACAAAGGCAAAACAAATGTTCTTAAAATACATGTAGTTGGCTCACTGTAGGAAGGGAGACAGGTGATAGCATTAGGGCCTACATGTAGTTTCACACGCACAAGTTTCAAACCTGAGATTGGTCCTGATGCTGGTAATGTTTATGACATAATACTTGTTAATTTAACTTTGGGAACTCATGTTTTCTACATTGCAAGAGGCTACTTGATAAGTTTCGCACATTTGAAGGTGCATGCATCAATCTAGTGTAGCATCTTCTAAAAACCTTTAAGTCATTTTATTAGACATTTGACAAATATGATGGATAATAGCAGTCTTACAGCACATCAGATTCTGCAACATTAGTGAACCACATTTAGGAAATCTTTTCATGAATGGACAAAACAAAGATATAATACTGTAAGATAGATCTTCTGAAGCCTTTTTATGAAACAACCTTCTATCCACCATAGATCTTCCTGGAACAGCCCTTTCTTGTACACTTACTACCAGGCAAAACATGCAAACTGTCTCCAAAGCAAGCATCAATATGGGCCTACACAAACAATCTCAAATCATCCCATTTCTCTCTTCTCTAAACTACATCAGTAATCACCAGCACACAACTTCTTCACAAGATATAAATGTTGACCACTTTTCCTTCTCCCAAAGGAAAATCTGTTGTACAAATATACCGCTTTGCAAGAATAGTGTGAAAACACTTACTTGCCCATTGGATTTGAATGTAGGAATGCTTTTAAAACCACCCTGGGAAACATGTTTTCTGAGACAACACCAGACAGGAAATGTACTTCCCATTCAGAAGGGGGGAAACTGAACAGTAAGTGACTGTCAGATATGGGAGAGTAGCCACTTAGCTTTATGGCTACTGGTACAAGCTATAGACATTTGAATGGGCTATTAAATAGGCCATCTTTCTGATGCATTTTTCTATCCTTTAACATCTTCAGTATTAGACTTTATGTGTTACTTTGAAGTAAAGTTTGTAAGGATGATTCTGAAGGAAAAGAACTACAAAGCCAAATCGGAAGGGTAGTTTTTAATCTGCTTCGTCAGAGTTTGAAAGCTGCTTCAATAGACTTTGTTTCAATGCTTTCAAGACTGTTTTCAAAGAGTATAACAAAAATGGGATGTGATAATTCGAAAAAAGAAGAAAACATTGTACCTGAGATAGGAGTTGAACTGAGTTATGTTCTCCGGCTCCATAATATCCTTGCATCATCTCTACACTCCTACTGATCACAACTGTCTGTACCCTAAAAATTTCACAACATTATCTAATTTACATACATCAAAGCTATCAATAGCTGCTAATAAAAAGGTCTTTATGTCATTGATTCATCAAAGACGACCCCCAGTGAGAACTGAAGGACTTTGAAGAGAAATTGATTGAATGGGAGGAGTTTAGTCAGCTGGGGTGTCTATCATGCAAATGAGGGGCGAAGTGTGTGAAAAGCCTCCATTTGCAGCTGAGCCCCCCTCCCCACTCCATCACGTTTGACAGTGGAGTGCCATGTGTCAATACACATAGGTGTGAAGTGGTGTTGACACATGGAGATCAGGGCTTCTGGCACTGACCCTGTCCTATGGACATTTGTCATATGCTGTGACAGATTTAGACTGTTTTCACTTTCAAAACTTTTATAACTGCATTTTTAGAGTATAGGAAGTCGAAACCGGTCAAATTGTGTCTCATCGCTGTCATTTTCCCAACGCTACGAATGATGCATTTTCAGAGTAGATAACACTGATTCAATGGGTTGTCATATGAGTTGTATGATGCCATAAAATAATAACACACTTCACTCTCTTTTTGCTGTAAAGCAGACAGACAGATAGAACAGTTCTCACAAACAATAATACTAGTAATTTCATCAGAACAGGGTATTGTTACCATACATAGTTCCTTTTTAGACCTTTTCTATATATTGTATATATATAGAATACAACACGGGGTATTCCGTATCGCCCGAGGTATCGGCCCGACCGCGGGTCGGATCGCCCGACGGCCGCAGACTCGCGGGAGGGCCGGGACCGAGGGCGATGCGGAATACAACGTGTTGTATTTTATTTATATCATACCCACCCAAGAAAACGCGCCTTTCAATGCAAGCTGAGCCAAAAGTTGGTGCCCCTAAACCCTCAAATGCAACAACATCAATTCCAACGTCCGGATTCTGTATTCGAATTTTCGAAAGGGGCACACGCGGTTAGGGCGAAACGCGTTCGAATCGTTTTATGGAAGCCATTAAAGCGTTCGATAACGGATCCCCGGTATGATATAATACTTACTACAGACATGGTTTTCAAAGAGCCACATGACTGTCTTGTATCTGAATTAGATTGACAACAACCATTTCATCCTATTCTTGTATTCTAGAACTTAGTACATCTAGAAGGAATTCAGTTTTAAGCTTTCAAATGATATAATTAGAAGTTTAGAAAGTTTATTGCAAATACTTGCCCGAGGGCTAATTGCAGTTACAAACAACATAGAAAGAAAATACAGTGGTATGTGAGACTATATCTACTTCTAACATTATACTATATTCTACAACATGACATGACACTAGTTTTACTGGGTTTGACTTCTTCTTTTTAGGCAATGGAAGACGAATTTACCCACTTCTTCTATAATATGTGGGTTCTTTGATTTTAGTAGTAAAATTGTTATATATAATTGTCAGAAAGAGGGTACAGTAATTGACAAGACACTATAGCTTGATTCTTTAAAGCTCTTAGCAGCTAAGCTCCATATAACTAATAATTACTTTCCTTGTGGTTTTAATAATTATATTCAATATTGTAGCTACCTGTAATTCAAGGGTTCTCAACCCAATACAAATTGGCAACAATAAGAGGCCAAGGTATGAACAGTAACAGTTTTTACACATGCTTCATAGAATCCTACAAACCCCCACTGACACCCTCCTGTCAAGAACACTCAATATAACCTGACAAGCTGTCTTTCTAATATTGATGGTGCGTAAACCCTTGAACACTAATACAGCGAGATAAGCATCACACCAATATGGTCGGCCGATCTACTTTGCAGAAGGCGTTCGGGTGCGTCTTATTGCCCAATTCACATTCATGTCACCGCTACGCTCGCAAGCAATATCATCTTCCTACAGTCAATTGGCCACGGATAGTAAGAATCAGATACGGAAAACCGTAACCGCAAATCGCCTTCCAGGTTTTGTCGACATAAACAAACAAGAAAAAGACTACATGCTTACACAAGGATAGATCATGATACAACAATACCTTGTTAGGAGGTCTGTACGTGTTGTGTTAAAGGCGGTAGAGAGGGAGGTCCCTTCAGCACCAGGGACAGGCATTGTCAAAATGAACAGTGACCTCAGTGCAGACTTCATGGATTAGGGACTGTCTCAAAACATTTTATGTCTAGTGGAAATCCATTTCTTTTGCACCCCCTAATGCTGTTATCGCACCTCTGATGTCTATCCATTCTATACCAAGGAGCTATATTTCATTTGCCAGCTAGTAAAACGGTTTTTCATCAAAGTCTAATTTCTCAAGGATAAGTGATAAGAAACAAGTGCTAGTCCATGATGTTAGAGTAATTTCTTGAATGACATCCTAAGGTTGAAGGTTTCTTGTAGGGAAGAGCACAGGACAAGATAGCAATCAGAGCCCTGA